CCAGGCAGCCCTGTAGGCCCTGTGGCGGGTGCCCTGCTGCAAGTGTCCTGAGACGCTGGTCCAGCGTTGGTGCTCCACAGAGGGAAGCTTCAAAGTTAGCGATTGCGCACTTGTGCAAGACGCGGGGCGGGGTGGGGGACTGCGCAGGGCATTGTGGGTGCATAGTTCAGCTAGAGCGTCGTTGGCTTGTGGCTCCCAGGAGTGGACTACAATTCCCGTGGTGCTCTATGCCCAGCTGGCCAGCGGCGATTAGCGCGCGCAGCCCCCCTGGGAATAGTAGTTTTAACCGCGTGGATGTGGGTCTGAACCGGATAGCCTGGAACTCGCCTTCCCGGCTACCCGTTTGGCAGGGCGGGGGGCCTCGCGAAGATGGTGGCGCGCGCGGCGTGTGGCTCCCGTCGTCTGGACAAATCTCAGCGCAGCTCACCGGCCGGCGTCTCGCTGGTCTGGAGCCCCCACCCGCCGGGTCCCTGACCCTCCTCCCTCTGCGCCCCCACCCCGCGCCCAATTCCTGGCATGCCTCGCGCTCGTAAGGGCCACGCGCCCCGCAAGGGCGGCCAGCGCCGTGGAGGAGGTGAGTTGGGGGCATGGGAGCAGCTGATTAGAGCTGAGCGGGGCACTCCGTGGGTCCCCTTCAGTGTCCCCGAGGACCCTAGGGTGAGGAACCCCCTCTCGACCAGTCCGGCGCAGCTTCCCAGAAGTCTGCTGAGGCCTGCACGTGCCCCAGCAAGCATCTGCCACGTGTGTGCCCAACTTGAACTTGCTTCCAGCCGTCTGCCAGGGGCCTGTCCTCCCAGCAGTGACCCAGCCAGCCTCTCTGGGCTTCGGTTTCCCCATTGCCTTCCAGCCCAGTTGCCTATTTGGGTGGACAAACCCACCGGACAGAGCAGAACACCAGTTCCCTCGCCAAATCCTGATCCTTTCCTGGACTGGACAAGGAAGTTGGTGGGAGGCATGCCTTGCTCCAGAGAACAGAGGGAGGGGGCGGTTTGGAAGCTACAGGATTGGGGCCTTGGAGGCCTGGCTGCAGAAGGTGTGTGAGTATCCTAGAGCCTGAGGCTTGGGACTCGCTTATCAGCATCTACCAGTAAGTACCCTGTCCTGGTGCAGTAAACACATATGTTTACTCTGCCGGGATGGGGTGCCTGCCAAGCACAGCTTTAAACTGGCCACCACCCTGATGTAGTTTGGGTGGGGTAATATCTGCTAGGGTATGGAACATGTTCACTTAATGCTGTCAGCCCCAGACTTAGGAACCAGGGAGGCCCCAGGTTAGGGGCTTCTGGGTGAGTCCTAAGAAGGTGGAGAAGAGAGCACCATGCAGAGAAAACAAGTTGTGCAAAGCCCGGGCAGCTGGAGGGACCACAGCACAGTGGAGCACATGAGGAAACGCTGGGCTGCTCTGGGAGGTAGGATAGTAAGAGAAGAGGTGAGCGGAGGTCAGTGTGTGGGCTGGACTTTGTCCTGTAGGCAAGGGGTGTAAGTAGTACTGAGAAATAGAGCCAGCCTGATGATTATAACCTGTCCAGAGCACTGCCACACAGCCACCCTCCCAAAGTCAGCCCTTGGCCCTGAACAGATCTCACGCACAGAAGTGCTCTAGCTCTACTGACCCTCAAACTCACTTGTGTTCATCCATTTTTAGAGACTCGTGCAGTCAGGGGCCACTTCACTTCTTGTTCTTCCCAGGGTCTAGGGGAGCCTGTGTGTCCACCCAGGGCAGAAGGCCCAGCCTAGGGATGACCTGGCAGGCTTGGTGGGCATTACCTCCCTGAGGCCAGAGCCTGATGCCATCAACAGAGAGACCTCTTTCCATATTTATATTTTCTCCTGCTTCCTGGCTCTAGTCCCCTGAATGAGCCCCTCTGCTGCCACCTCAGCTTTGGTTTTTTCATCTCAGAGAGGGGGCAGTATTATGTCTTATAGGGTCATGAGGTTGGGTGAGGGACCCTGCCATCCCTCATCAATGGAGGCAGGTTGAGTGCCCCATTCCACTCTTCTCAGGTGCCCGGAGCAGTGCCAAAGCAGACTCAGGTTCCAGTGAGGACGAGGCGGCCAGTGAGGCCCGCAGCACTACCAGTGAATGCCCCAGCCTTCTGAGCGCCACGGCCGAGGACAACCTTGGTGAGAGTGGGTAGCAGTTTGGCAGGGACTTTGTGAGGGTTCCTTTGAGTGAGGGCAAGAAGCAGTGCTGACCAGCTGGCCTTGCAGGGGGGGATGTCGTGGATGAGCAGGGCCAGCAGGAAGACCTCGAGGAAAAGCTGAAGGAGTATGTGGACTGCCTCACAGACAAGAGGTACCCCTGGCTGCCAGCCAAGTCCTACACCCAGGTCCCTGCTCAGCCCACACCAAGTGTGACCAAGGGAGAGCTGACGCATATGACTCTTCCTTTTCCACCCTCCAGTGCCAAGACCCGGCAAGGTGCTCTGGAGAGCCTGCGCCTGGCCCTGGCGTCCCGCCTACTGCCTGATTTCTTGCTAGAGCGCCGCCTCACACTGGCTGATGCCCTGGAAAAGTGCCTCAAGAAAGGTTGGAGCCAGGGGCGCGTGGGAGACTTAAACTGGGGAGGCCCTGACCCTTGCTGCATGTGCTGACTTGAAAACATCCCACAGGGAAGGGTGAGGAGCAGGCCCTGGCTGCCGCCGTGCTAGGCCTGCTCTGCGTGCAGCTGGGCCCTGGACCCAAAGGCGAGGAACTGTTCCACAGCCTGCAGCCTCTGCTGGTCTCTGTGCTCAGTGACAGCACAGCTAGCCCTGCCGCCCGGCTCCACGTAAGTGTCCTCATGAAACCCTTCCCCTGCCTTATCCCTCAGCAGGCTGGTGGGTTCCACATGCTTTCAGGCTTCCCTACTTTGAGGGGTGAGTACCCCTTGGCTGGGAACCTACCCACACCCCCTGACCATGGCCTGGCCTTGTCCTCACAACAGTGTGCTTCTGCTCTTGGCTTGGGTTGCTACGTGGCTGCTGCTGACATCCAGGTGAGTGAGTGGTCTTTGGGCACAGGTGGTAGAACACCTAGGCCCATAGCTCTGCCCCTGAGCCACTCCCCTGCCTCTGTGTGCTCCTAGGACCTGGTCTCTTGTCTTGCCTGCTTAGAAAGTGTTTTCAGCCGGTCCTGTGGCATTGGTGGCTCTACAGTTCCAGTGGTCCCTGCCAGCCTGCATGGCCTGCTCTGTGCTGCCCTGCAGGCCTGGGCATTGCTGCTCACCATCTGCCCCAGCACCCACATCAGCCACATCCTTGACAGGTAGGGGCTGCTGCCCAGTGGGAGGAGGAGGGGAATCTCAAAGAGGCCCCCAACCCACACATGTAGCTCAGCCTGCCCCTTCCCTAGGCAGCTGCCCCAGCTGCCCCAGCTCTTGTCCAGTGAAAGTGTGAACCTGCGGATTGCTGCCGGCGAAACCATCGCACTGCTCTTTGAGCTCGCTCGGGACCTTGAGGTTTGAGGGACAGGAGTGGGGTGGGGTCCCTGCTAATATCACCTGCCCATTCCAGGCTAGGTGCAGGGAATGCTGCAGAAAACAGAATGGCCTTAGGTCACTATACAGTGGAGGTGGGCCCAACACAGACTCACATGCTAGGTGCTATGATGGGGGCCCTGAGTAGGGGTGTCCCTGGCCAGGCAGAGGCCAAGGAGAGGTTCAGAGGGGCCAGGCAGAGAAGGGCTCTCAGTGAAAGGAGGGGTTTGGGTAGCCCCATGTTGAGAGCCAGCAGAGCTCAAGCTTCTGCCAGACACCATCCATCGCTCCCACTATAGGAGGACTTCATTTATGAGGACATGGAGGCCCTCTGCAGTGCCTTGCGCACTCTGGCCACTGACAGCAACAAATACCGTGCCAAGGCTGACCGCCGGCGCCAGCGGTCTATTTTCCGCGCTGTGCTGCACTTTGTTGAGGTGAGAATCTGTGTGTCCCAGGGAGAGTGCAGCTCCAGGCACAGCAAGCAAGCCCAGTCACATGGGCCCCTCTACCCTGCAGGGTGGCGAATGTGAGGAAGAAACAGTCCGCTTTGGGCTTGAGGTGCTCTACATGGACAGCTGGGCTCGGCACAGGATCTACGCTGCCTTCAAGGAAGTGCTGGGTTCGGGCATGCACCACCACCTCCAGGTGGGGAGAAGGACAGGGAGGGGGCACTTGGCTGCTTCAGGCTGGCCTGAGCTTACTGTTCTTTTTGTCCCCAGAACAACGAGCTGCTCCGTGACATCTTCGGCCTGGGCCCAGTGCTGGTGTTGGATGCCACTGCACTGAAAGCCTGCAAAATTCCACGATTTGAGAAGGTTTGCACCTTGGGCACCTTTGTCTTCCCTCCGTTCCCCTGTTTCCTGGAGGCCTGGAGCTCTGCGGGGGCTTTCTCCTGCTCAGCTCACCAGGTCATCCCTCTTTGTCCCACCCCAGCACCTATACAATGCTGCTGCCTTCAAAGCCCGGACCAAGGCGCGCAGCCGCGTGCGGGACAAGCGGGCAGACATCCTGTGAAGCAGGACCAGCAGAAGAGAAGACTAGCCACACCTTGCCCATATTTTTAACAGAAGACAGTGCAACAACTGGTCTCTGCCAGTAATTGTCACTTTATTTTTTTAATGACAAAACCAAAAACAGACAAGGAGTGAGTGGCTGGGGGCCAGGACACTTGAGCCCCTGGCCCTCGTCCCTGTACTCAGCCCTATGGCCTCTTCCTGCCCTGTCTCAGGCCAGGCCAAATGTGGCCCAGGGCTGTGGGACAGACAGTGAGGGGCTGTCCCTTCCTCTTCTTTCTCAGGCTTTGCTCCCCTGGGATGACCTATTTCCTTGGGGGAGATGGCATCTAGACAAATGCCACCACAGCAGCTGGGGAGGCAAAGCTACCTAGAATGGATTTGTGTGCTGATTTTTAAAGATTATTAGGGATAATTAAACAGAATGCTCAGCCTTCTGTGGTCTTGACTCCTGGGTATCTATCTCTGTCTACCCTCCCTCCCCATGCACCACCCTAGGCTTGGGCCCAGCTGGATCTTCCTCCATCTCACCTTTGTCCTCCAAGGCAGTCTCTCTAGGTGGCCCCTCTCCCCTCTACCCCCCTACTCAGAGCCCAGCCTGTCTTTGAGAGTTGAGGCTGGACTCCCACGTGGAGGCCTGGCAGAGTTTGGGAGACAGCAGTGGGGGGTGGGAGTGGCTATTTCTACACTTCTGAAGCTGCCATCTGTGGATGGCCAGAGGGTACTGACAGGCCACAGGAGGAGCCAGGAGGCTGGTGCCCCTTCCCCTGACCTTGGACCACCCAAAGGAAGGCCTGGGCATCAGAAGCCTTGGCTAGGCCTGGCTTGAAGAGGGCAGGAGAGTCAGGTAGCTGTGGAGTCACATCAGGTTCTTAGACAAAGGTCTTACCAAGGAAGTAGTGTAGATGTGGCCAGTGGCAGGAGAGGAGAGACCTGCCTGCCGTCACTTTATCCCCACCCCCACACATACTCCTCCAGGCCCCAGGTCAAAGTGGCATCTCAGCTGGGTGCTTGGGCCTCGCTGGAGTTGAGTCTCCGCAGCTGGCTGAGGCTGGCTAGGCGAAGTTTGAGTATTGTCTCCTCCTGGGTGTGCAATGTGTGTGCCAGGATGCGCAGGGATTCACTCTGCAGCACTGCAAATGGGTAGGCAGGAGTGGGAGATAGTCAGACCGTGGCATCCTACAACCTCCCCCCACCCAGCCCAGCACCAGGGTTGCCCATAGAACCCCCCACCCCAGCCTTCATTGCTGCAGCATCTGCAATTGCTCCTTCCAACCGCACAGAAGGGCTTCCCAGTCTCCACTGCCTTGCCCTCTTCCCACTGGTGCCCTGTTGTCCCTACCACTCAGGTAGACAGCCAGGATGGCGAGCGCCAGGCAAGTAAGCACCAGTAGCGCGAGCAGTAGCAGGAAGCCCCCCCTGCCATACACAGGGCCGCAGCTGGCCTGGGCACACAGTGACGGTGGCAAAACACCCAGGAGCTCGTCCCACGGCCGTGCCTCTTCAGTCAGATAGGGGTGTAGCGAGCCTGCAGGGTGGAGGGGACATCAGTAGGACAGCAAGTGCGCCCACCTTTGTCCCCACAGCACCTCCATTCTACCTCCCTGCTCCCCTCACCTCCACTATGTAGGTCACTGATGGACTCCACTCGATGCAGGCGCACTTCCTGCACGTAGTTGGGGGCCAGTGGCCCCCTGCCGCTCTGGTTTGACATCCTTGGCACCATGGTGTCTGCAGGGGCAGCATGGGGTTGATTCAGCTAAGGTGAGTCACCCCCTTCTCCCAGCTGGCTTCAGGTAGCAGGGACTGGGGAGGATGGGGATAGTGGGGCATTTGCCTCCAAATCCCCTAAAACTGACCAGGAATGACCCTTGATTTGGATCTACAACAGGAGGTACACCTGATTGATTTTCCAAGCCTTTCAAGGACTTTCAGGCATTCCTCTGCCAGCTCATTTCTAACAAATAGTTTATCAGCCTTGCAACCCACAGCACATGAAATTCAGTCCTGCCTCTGTTATCACTGGTGTTTCCTTGCAGACCCTGTGAGTTAGTCATTAGGCCACACCCAATGCCTGGTGGCTTCTCTTCTCCTGCACAGAAAGAGCACCATGCTAGCCACTGTGGTGCCATTCCCTCCTAGCCTGGGTTCTGTGTTGTTCCTTCACGTACACAGTGATTCTGTGTTCTCCTGTGATCCTTGCTGCTTTCACACCACAGTACTGCTGGAGACCTTCTTTGTTTCACATACCTCTGAGGCCTCTCCTACAGGCAACTCTTTGAGGCCACCTGGGCATTAATAACCTCCAGGACATCCATCATTGAGTAGGGAGGTTGTCCCCAATTTCCCAATAGTTATTATAGCAATTCCCAGAAGTGGAATTATCGCATCCAAGAACAGGGATTTTTTTTTTTGTTTTTTGAGACAGAGTCTCACTCTGTTGCCTGGGCTAGAGTGCCGTGGCATCAGCCTAGCTCACAGCAACCTCAAACTCCTGGGCTCAAGCGATCCTTCTGCCTGCCTCAGCCTCCCCAGTAGCTAGGACTACAGGCACATGCAACCATACCTGGTTATTTTTTTAATTTTTATTTATTTTTCTATTTTTGGTTGCCTGGCTAATTTTTTTATATTTTTAGTTGAGACGGGGTCTCACTCTTGCTGAAGCTGGTCTCAAACTCCTGAGCTCGAGCTATCCTCTCACCTTGGCCTCCCAGAGTAGATTACAGGCATGAGCCACTGTGCCCGGCCAAGGATTTTTTTTTAAGCTATTATCAAATTGTCCTCCAGAAGGGCTGTCCACGGCCCCCAACAGGGTACATTGCCACCATTAGGCATCCCCATTGAAAATGAATATTTACATGTAAGCGTGTACACATATATTTGCTAATTTGAAAGATGAGAAATGGCCATTTTTGATTGATTTGATTGGGTTTCCTGTCTAGAGAGGCTGAGCAATATGTTGTATGGGTTCTTAAAATCACAAGAAAAGTACACAGACCAGTGACTAAATGGGTAGAGGCTGTGAATGGGTAATTAATTTTTTTTTCAGAAGCATCGAAGCATTTTATGATTTCTAAACATTTAATTATATTATCTTCTGGTTGTTCTTTGATTTTTTTTGTTTTGTTTTGTTTTGTTTTGTTTTTTTTGAGACAGAGTCTCACTTTTGTTGCCCAGGCTAGAGTGAGTGCCGTGGCGTCAGCCTAGCTCACAGCAACCTCAAACTCCTGGGCTCAAGCGATCCTCCTGCCTCAGCCTCCCAAGTAGCTGGGACTACAGGCATGTGCCACCATGCCCGGCTAATTTTTTGTATATATATTTTTAGTTGGTCAATTAATTTCTTTCCATTTTTAGTAGAGACGGGGTCTCGCTCAGGATGGTTTCGAACTCCCAACCTCGAGCAATCCGCCCGCCTCGGCCTCCCAGAGTGCTAGGATTACAGGCGTGAGCCACCGCGCCCGGCCTCTTTGATTTTTTGAAACTCTTGGTCCCATGAGAGCTCTGACGCTCCCTGGAAGCTAGATAACAAAGTACAGGAGGGCAGTGGGGGGACACCTCCCGATAGGCGCAAGGGTGGCCTTGTACTCTCTGGGTCTGTCACTCTCAGACAGTTACTTGATCTTCATGATTTACTTGAAACTGCCCCTTGATATGCTCAAAAGCAAGTAAAACAGATGCTGCCAGTTGTTACATCTGGGTGGTGGGTTAAAGGTCATATTAAATTCCCTCTTTGCACTTTGCTGTGCTTTACCCACACTTTCTAAATTGAATGTAGATTCTGATTGTTACAGGAAAAATACACAGTGTTATCAAGACCCCAAAAGAAAGCAAACATTTCCCCCTACCAGGGGTCAGGCCAAGCTGGGTTGTGGGCTATGAGCTGGAGCCATGGAACAGTTGGTCCTATGTCCTGGCCAGCCCTGGAGCTGTAGCTTCCTGTACTCTGCTGGTCTGGCCCTTTGAGCCTCAATACTTCTTACCTGCAGTGGAGCAGTTAGGTAAGTGGCCACCAAGCTCTTAACTAGCTGAGTCTGACCAGGCCAAGAGGATATTTAGACCCAAGTTAGCCTCTGGTCTATTTATTGCCCAGTTCCTGGGCCAGGTACCCAAATGCTTCCTGGAATCACTGCCAACCCCCAGTCCCAGCTTCTTCCCTGAACTGGCCATGCAGCTTGCCTGGATGCCCACACCCACCTGGGCACAGCCTATAGTTGACCCACCCCTAACTGGGTAGCTTCCCCAATCCCTCCCTGCTGTGCCCAGCAGAGGAAAGTGAAGCAGGGCCTGAGGTGGGGAGGGATTTCAGGCACAGCAAGCTCTTCCTCCATGCATGGGGATAGGTCCCTTTACTGGACATGAAAATAGATAACTGGTCAAGACAGAGGTCAGTGGGACAGAGGATGGGTCTCTCCATGGTCCACAGAGTCACAGGACTGGGGTCTTACCCTCCCTATGGTCACCTTTTCCTACCCTTTCCTACCTTCTTGGGTCTCCTCAGGCATGGCAAGTGGTGGGCAATCGGGGCCAGTGAGGGCGTCCAGTGGCAGGATTGAACAAAGGCAGCAGTGGCTCCTCTGAGAGCCTGGGGAAGGCCTGGCTGCCTCCCCGCCTGGGCCTAAAATAGGCCTGAGCTCAGCCCACTGGGCTATATTTAGAGGGGGCAGCTCTCAGCCATGGGAAGGGGCAGAGTGACCCACATGGGCCATCCTGGACTATCTACCTGGTGATGGTGCCCAGCCAAGAGCATGCTTCCACTAGCACGTGTGCCCAGGGGCCTTCTTGGGGAATCACACCGCCATACGTGCAGAGGCCTTGATGCCTCCATCTGGAATAGCCACTTCAGGCTCAGTTCCAGCAGGGCCCCGCATGGCAGCCAAGACATACAAGGGGATCCTGTGCATCTACTCAGGCACCCCTCCCCCACAGACAGCTTCCCATAGCCCAGTCATCTCTCCTTCTGGCAAACATGGGACAAGCACCCACCCACCACTGTGTGTGACCTGCCAGGAGCACAGGTTGGAGATGGTGGATAACAAGAGCCCAGTGCCATGAGACGGCTTTGACACCTCCACAAGTGGGCAGACACAGCACTGGCCATGCTGGCCAGTGGGCAGACCTAGCTTGGAGACTGGTACTTCTATTACTAAGCTCACAACCTTAAAGGTAAAGAATCGCCCTTGTCAGGCATCAGTTTGCTCATCTGTAAAATGGGAATAACAGTGATTCTTCTCTGGCAGAGTACACTGAGAACGGAGATAGAACTATGTGTGAAGCACTTAGCACATTTTATAGTTTTGGTCCTTCCCTCTTCTCACCATGAAGGCACACAGATCACACAAGGTGATGTGAGGACTCCTATCACTGTTTACCATTAAAGGGAGGAGGTAGTCCAGGTTCAGGCCTTCCCTCTGTGGTTGGACCCTTGTGACCTTCCCAACTAGAGCAAAGCCAGACTGGGCTCTTCTTCCTAAAACATCCCAAACGCCTCACTCCCCTATACCACATTGGCCTCCCTGATGTTCCTCAAACTTGGCAAGCTGCTCCCACCTCAGGGCCTTTGTAGTGGCTGTTCCCTCCTGGAATGCTCCATCCCCAGATATTCCTGTGGTTGGCTCCTTGTCATTTCAACTCAGTGTTACTCCTTCAGTGAGGCCTTCTGCTCACATTCTTTTCCATAGCACTTAGCCCTTAAATTGCATTGTGCAGAATGTACTGTGCATGTCAACATCCCAAAGGCCCTGGAGAACCCACTCAGTCATGTAGAAACTCCCTTTATTCCTCACCACAGCAACCTTGGACGGGAGAAACTCAGGCCCTGAGACTGCTAGGAAGGTGCCCAAGACCACAGAGCAAGGCACCTAGCGGTTGTCTGCTGGGGCCATTCCAGCTTCTGTTGATAATGTGTTTATTGCATTACTTTAGTACAGGCGGCCTGCCTCACCCCGCTCCCAGCAACCCAGCCTGTTCCCAGCTTTCTGCTCACTGCCCAAGGAAGAGGTCTGTCCCCAAGGGAGGGCACTCTGGGCATCTCCCGCGTCCTGGTGGTTCAGTTGCTCTGAAGCCCAACTTCTCTGTCCCCTCCCTCCTGGCTGGATCCTGCACCCAGCCTGGGCCGCCCTTCCCGGGGCTACATTCAAGGGTTATCCTGTTAATAAATAAGCCCGCTCGGCTGCCCTAAGGCCAGGGCCTGTCAGTTGGTGTCTCTGTCCACCAGGGACCCCAATGTACCTGGCCCTGACCCGTCCGTCTGCCCAGGCTTTATCTGCTCCCTCTCCTGCCTGTCGTCTCCTGCCTGATCCCCGGCGTGGGGACAGCCAGGTCACCAGTGCGCTACGCTGCGCGGCCCCCGCTCAGCGCGCGGCTCAGGGGCGTGCGTCCGCCGGTTGCGGCCCTTCCTCCGCGACTCTGGGGACGGTGGGCGCAGCGCAGGCTGAGGGCGGCACATGCGCAGGGAGTTCGCGCCGCCACCGCCGCCCGGTTCCACCAGCTGCAGAAAGTCCCGGTACCAGAGTTTGGGGCCCGGTGGCGCGGCAGGCGCAGCCTCCTCGACCCGTGCCAGCCGTTCGGCCTGAGCAGCACTCAGCACGTGCAGCGCCAGGCGACGCAGCGGCTGCGAAAAGCCCTGCTCCACCGCCACGCACAGATACACGCCCGAGTCCCGGCGCCGCAGTCCGCGCAGCAGTAGCCCCCGCGCGGTGCGCTCGGCGCGCTCCTCTGTCAGCACCTGCGGGCGGGGGACAGCGTGAGGCCGGGGCATCCGGACCCGGAACAGGACTTGCCGCCCCAGCAAGGGACTGGAGAAGCAAAGGGTCAATGGGAGCAGAGGGGGAGCGGAAAAGGGACGTCCGCAGGGGCACATTTGAAGGTTGGGTGCACGGTGGCTAGTGGTCTTTAAGTGAATATTTGAACCGGGGCGAGGTTTACCTGAAGGCGGGGAGCGGGTCAAGGACCTCAATGGGTGGGTCGAGGGCGAGTCTTCTCCCGAATGTGGGGTGGGAGAGGCGGGTCAGGAGGCTGGTTGGACAGAATGAGGCCTCACCAGGATATGGAGTGCAGGTAAGGGGCCAAACTGGACGTAAGGGGTCTGGTTGGGCGGGTCCTCATTGGGCAGGACCTAACTAGACGTGAGGTGAAGGCCAAGGGCTTCAGTAGACAGGGCGGGACCTCTCCTGGATGTAGGCTGGACAGGGCCTGGTTGGGAAGGGCGGGGCAAGGCTTACCTGCGTGTGGGCCATCTCCCCTGCGCGCTGGAAGGTCCACTCCATGCTCGCCTGCAGCGAACGGGGCTCACATTCCAGAAAGACGCTGCCGCCCTCTACGCCAAACACCTTCCGCTCCAGCAGCGCGGGACGGGATGAGTCTTGGGGCGGGGAGAATGTCAGATTCACTCACGGCAGGGCAGGTGGGGCATCTTCAGGGGCTGACGGTGGTGGGAGACGGGGCACTCACCCCCAGAGCACAGCAAGCTGGGGTCGCCATTCCTTACGTCTTGCCGTCGGAACCGCCTGGGGGAATATTGGATCCTCATGAGCCCTTCTACTTTCATCCCGGGTAGAAAAAGACCCTTCGTCTCCCTCCCGGTGGCCCCCCCGCCTCCGCCCCCGCCCCCGCCCACCTCTTGGCACTGGGCTGGAAGCGGGTGCACGCGACTCCGTCCCAGGCACAGTAGGGGTCTCGCGCCAGACAGCATTCAGCGCAGGCGCGGCCGTGAGCAGCGCAGCGGTGCAACGCGATCTGGGCCACCGCGCTCCGCGAAGCTACATACAGCTGGTGCTAGAGGGGACGAGGGGCTCTGGGCTGACCGAGGGCGGCCCCACGCCTGCTTCCCATCGGTCAGGGATCCCTTCTCCCACTTAACAGGTGAGAATACTGAGGTCTCATTCAGGTCACACAGTTTAGCAAAGGCAGGGCCTTATACTCAAGCCCCAGGGTCATGACCTACCAAGAGGGGTGAGAGGGTTGGGATGCCCTGGGCACAAGCTCAGTCCATCCCACCCCACCCCCATCCTTCTGGTCACTCACCCTCTTGGAGGAGATTTGCATGCTGGTGACTGCAGCTGAGTCCTGAAAGGGAGGAGGGGCAGCAGGGTCAGGGATTAGTGGGGTGGAGGGACCTGGGGCGATGGGGGCCAGGCCTCACCTCAAACACCTGCAGCTCCTCCAGGAGCAGCCCCTCAGCGTTAGGTCTGCCACCCTTGGGGACTGAGATCACCTTCAGCACTGTGCCGGCGTCTGCAGGGGCGAGAAGGGGGAATGACCATTCGTGTTCCCTGACAGCTAGAGCTGGGCTCTCCTTGCCTCCCAGGCCTCCGCTGTCAGCATGGTTGGGTCAAGGTGAACAGTGTGGGTTGGAATAATCAGGGCAGCATCCTGAAGTTAGGGCCACAGCCCAGGAAAAGACGTGGAGATGGGCCTGAGCAGGGAGAGCGTCCCCTTCCAGGCCAAGGAGGCTAGATGGAATCTTGTGGGTCTGGGTTGTCGTGGAGAGCTCCTGACCTGTGCCAATGAAGAGGACATCATAGTGTCCGTCAGCAGCTGCCACCCGATCAGCAGCAATTTGGGTGAAGGTGTACCCGGCTCCCACTTGTAGGAAGAGAGGGCGCCCCCCAATGGGCATGACCGAGTTGTACATGAGGGGGTGGTTCCGAACAAACTGGATGACGTCGTCTGGGAAGTCCTTGGTGGAACTGAAGGTGCCAAAGGTCTTGCTGGGGCACTGGAGGTGGCGGAGAGGCACAGCAGGGATATAGTTATGGGGGCTTGGAAGGCCGCCCTCCATGCAGGCCTCTGGGAGCATGAAAGGGGAAGGGGACAGAACCCTGCCCTGGGGGTTTAAAAAAGGAGACCAGCCTTGCCCTGGGAAGTTTGAGGGGGAATCTGGCCTTCTCTTGAGGATCCTGTCTGATGATGGTGACCTTTTCCCACCCATAACAAAAGGAAGAAGACACATTCACCAATAAGACCCAGGGCCATGTTCTTCATCCTTGAGGTTTTAAAGTGGATTGTGGCAGGAGTCCCCAGGCTACGCACCATGCCAGGCCGAGGGTAGGGGACACGACCCTGGTATGACACCCACTGGTGCGTAGGCCCCTCCTTGTGCGCAAAGGGTCCCAGGAAAGCCCGGCGCACGTCGTTCATGCTGTACACACACACTGCGGAGCCCTGGAAGATGCCACTGCAGGCAAAGATGACAGCGGAGTGACAGGCCTGGTGGATCCAGGCTGGCCCTGCTCTGGCTCCCAGCGTCCCGCGCCTCACCTGGATGCGGAGAAGACTCCATAGAGCAGTGGGGTCAGGCGGTCCCGCGAGGACAGCAGGAACACATCCTCTGCAGGGGAAGGGGCCTAGTTAGGGGAGGGAGCTCCCGGAATCTACACCCCTGCCCCTCTCCTCGATACCATCATCCACCCCCGACTCCAACACTCACGGAGCTGGTCGAAGTGGGTGTCGCCCTCAATGCCGGGCACCGAGCACACTAGCCGCGCCTTCAGGAACGTCGTCCATTTGTTGACCAGGCTGCGCTGGCCGCCAACGTCGTTCTGCCAGGACGATCGGAGAGGATGAGGACCAGACCCGGGCGGGCAAAGGGACGGGAGTGGGGTCGCTGAGTGTGGCCCAGGGACTCCTCACCCGGCAGATCTGGCCAACGCGGGACACGGACAGGCGTCCCATTGCTGCTGCCGCCTCCACAGCTGATTCACGAAAGAAGAAGTAGATTTTGTCGTCATCCGGGTTTTCGCTCTCGGGGATCCAGAAGACCTTGACAAACTTGGGCTCTGGGTGAAGCAGGAAGCATGGGGTCAGCGAGTCCCAGCACCGCTCCCCCGATACAGAGCCCCACGCGCTGCCTCCCCTTCCCCTTGAGCAGGCTGTAGCACCCAGGACAGCATATGACCGGGCCCCGAGGACCGAGTTGGGTTGGCGCCGACTGAATCCAAAAGATCAGGGCCTGCGATGCAAATGCAGCCACGAGGGGGCAGCAGAGACCGTGGCTACCTGGGCACGCAGGGGAAGACCAGCCGGCGTCTGACCTTGCCCCTCACTGTTCCCCAGGCCTGTGGGCCAGAGAGAGAGAGATGGGGTATCTGGTTTCACTTTCACTCGTGAATCTTCCTGCCTAGCAGAACCAGATGCTCTCTACTCCCACTTCAAATCTTTCTGCTGGGTCCCCTTGCTCTTAGAATAAACTATTCCAGCGACAGTCCAGGCTTCTTATCATTATGACGTTATCATAAATGTAGGTCACCCCATAGGAGTATTGGTGTCCAGCATGTTGCTCCTTGGGTCCATTCCTTTGCTTGTTTCTGCATCCAGGCCTTTCCACTAGTTGTGCTCTCTGCCTGGGATGCTCTTTAGGCTGGCTCTCTTGTGCTGTGGAACTAGCTCATACCTCCCCCCCCGCAGCGTGGCTTCCTCCACCACCCACCCCATCTCCTTTTGCCTTCCTCTCTGGGCTCACACTGGCCTCGCAGCCATTGGAATTGGTCTTATTGTTCTGAGATGTGTGAACTCAAAGAGGGCACAGGTCATACCAGTCTTGTCTGTCCCTGTGACTCCAGTGCCTGGCACAAGGCCTGATTATGGCAAGTGCTTGGTGAGACCTGGCTGTGCTCATTGCTCACTTATATGGGCCTTGCTTGGCATGGGCCCTCTGGGAGGGTGATGGCCCCCTCCCACCAGCCCCACCAGCCTCTCACCGTTGAGCCAGCGGGAATCATGAGGCTCTGTTCGGAGACTCGGACGCTGGCCCAGGCTGCGAAAGATGGTAAAGTCCCGGCCCATGAGGTCTGCTGCCACCCCTGAGTATAGCTCTTCCCCTGCAGACAGGGCAAGGGCGGCTCAGCCAAGCTGAGGGATCTTGGGGTGGGAGGACCTGGGCAGCTCTGGAGTTCTCAGGGAGTCAGTGAAGCTATGGGGGATCCCCAGAGTCTCGGGGACTTGGGACTTTGTGAGGTTCTAGCATTTCTAAGGGGTACTAGGAGTTCTGCTGGGGTCCCAACCTTTGGACTCACCCACCAGCACGGAGGCAGCCCGGTGGCTGGGGTCGTAAGGACTCTTCCCTTTGCCGTCCTCTAGCTTTCGCGGGTCCAGCTGGAGCACGGGCTCCTGGGAGGTGGGGGGAGTTGTTATTGCCAGGCCCTTCCTCACCCTCCCGACTGCCCTCCCTGCCTAGATCTGGCCTTACCTCCAGCCGGTGGCCCACCAACACAAATGCACAGGTTGGGTGGAAGGCCCCTGTACCACAGGCCAGCAAGTGCGTGCGGTTGTAGGCATGCAGCAACTTCACGAAGTTCATGCACTCAGTCT